CAGATGTGTTCCCCTTACCGCAACTCACTGTCGCCTGTGATTAACCTGGAGTAGAGAGCATGCATTCTAGACACCGCAACAGTGGTCTTGTGTGATGTTTTCCGACGAGTCCAGGTTTAGTTTGCAGTCTGATTCTCGCCGGACTTTCATATGGAGAGCGCCAGGTATCCGTTACCACCAAAAGAACACCATTGAATGACACCGTTACGGTGGTGCAGGATGGCTCGTTTGGGGAGGAATTATTCTTGGTTCCAGAACTGACCTGCATGTTCAGAGTATAACAATGACAGGCCACATCTATCTTGATGTCATTCTGGAACAACATGTACGTTTGTTTCGGGGCGCCATGGGTGTTGAATTTCTGTTTATGGATGACAACGCCCATCCTCACCGTGCAAACATTGTAGACGAATGCCTTCAATCGGAGGATATCACCCGTATGGATTGGCCAGCATACTCACCGGACTTGAATCCAATAGAGTATGTGTGGGATATGCTTGGCCGACGAATTGCAGCTCGTCAACCCCCTCCCACCTGTCTACCGGAACTTCGGAGGGCATTGCTTGATGAGTGGTGTAATATTCCCCAAGATCAGATTGATAATTTGATACTCAGCATGCGTAGGCGTTGTAAGGCCTGTATTGCATCGTCCGGGAGACATACTCCGTATTAACCATCGTACTAACCATGTTATACTGTTTTTAGTAAATAGGTTCTCTTTTGAAATTTTCTCCAGGGAGTAAAAATCGCAATTTTTATTAATTATGTCAAACATATAGCATCTTTTTTGCCCTTTACCTTTTGTTTAATAAATAGACTTTACAAATAATTCAAATTTGTTTTGCTTCTGTCTCTTTCTTTGCCTGAACTTCATTATCCTTAATTTATGGACATGAATGTATGATAAAAATATTAATGATAAAATTATTATTTTAATATGATAAAAATGTTTGTACACTTTTTTAAGCTCAAGGGAAAATACAAAACCAATCAAAAGTAAATTCATAATTATCGTTTGCAGTTATAAAGGAATAAAGTAAAATTGAAGAAATTACTGTCTTAAAATTGCGACAACTCTCTCTCTTTGAAAAAAAGTGATTTCCTGAAGGCAGTGGCGTAGCTAGGTATTTAAAGGCTCTGGTGCGAAAAAAAAATGAGGGCTTTATCTTGGTTGAATTCTATCTAGTAAAAAAGTAAAAATATGGGAATATTTTAAATATATACAAAGCTACAATTTTTACTTACTGTCTTCTCTTTCTTGGCGTTGTTTGAGCTTAAACGCGCCCCACTTGGTTTCTTTCTTTTTTTTAAATCTATAGTTTTGAAGTGAAACTTCTTTGCTCACGGAGTGAATGGAAAATTTGCCCAGTTTTGCGTAACAGGGAGAAAGCAAACAGAAGTAGTGATTTCCCCACCATCCCCCCCCCCAAATCGTCCCAATGGTGAGGAAATAGCGAGCGGGAGGAAAAGATAGTGGGGGACACCCTGTGACTTGCGTCATATCCGTGAAAAAGTTGGATGATTGCCCGCCTTTGGTGGACTCAACCTACCCCTTTTCTCACCAGACCAGGGAACATATGTCAACGGTTATATGTGTTGCAATGTTTGCTTTACGGTGTAGACAAAATAGATCTTGCAGCAAAAGCGTGCCTTTTTAAAATATTTCCTTAGATTGTTGGCCACATGGTGATGTTTTCGGCAGCTAATTTGTTTTTTAAATTTTCATTTGCTTTGAATTATTATTGATTCTAATCAGAATGCCTAGATCAAATGTACAAAGAGGAAAAGAGTTTCGTGAAAGAAAAAGAAAAGAAATACTAGCAGAAAGTCCAGTCGAAAAAGTGATAAAAAATAGAAAAATAGTGCAAATTCATCAAGCGCTACTGCCAAATCTCGATCAGAGTACATGAGAGAATATCGAACATGGAAAAAAACATTGCAAAATATTCTCTTAATGCCGAGTTTAATGACTGCTATTGAGACTCATCCAATGCCAGCACAGATTAATACGGACTTTGTGAACCACCCTGTTCACAAAGGGGGGGGGGGGGGGTACGTTACGCCACTGGATAACGGTCATCACATAATAATACAGTCTTATCACTTTTTCCAATTGACATGCAGTTTGAAATTAACTGTTTTTCGAAGGGAATATACGGGAATAATATTTGACGACATTAAAATTATCCGGATCATGATCTTATTAAGACGGAGTCGAGAACGAAATGAGGCCCCCACTGAGAGCGACGTCCTGGACCCGGGCCTAGTTGGCCCATGCCTTGAAACGTCCCTAACTACAATATAATACGACTTTAATTATGAACCGCACAATTTATCAAGATGAATATTTTGTATATGACAAGACCAGGGGAGTCACTAAAAAAACTTGTTTTTAATTGAATATTGATAACTTAATTATCAAATACTTTGTGCAGTATTGATACATATATAAGTGTTGAGTATCATATCAGTGGGAATTAGTATTTTATTTTTTATTATATAAGAATTTATTTTACTTTGTAATTATTTTAAATTGTAAATTATTTTATCAAATTCATAATTATTTTAAATCTTTTGTTTTCGATTTTTCGCGATACGTTTGAGCCCCCAAGTATGGTTATCACGCCCTGCTGGAGGGGCCCACAGTTTGAGAAACGCTGCGATAAAGATTTTATTTCGAGTTTTGAGAACAATTTAATAACAGTACACATGAAGCCAAATATGATTTAGAGAAGAAAAACCAAGCGATTTACATAATTTTAAAAATGTACATATATTATCATTGCAAACAAAACAAATACGTTGAGCCACAAAATCTTCTCAGCATACAATGAATCAAAATTTATGCAGATACAAATCATTCCCAATTTTTGTTGTTAAATGTTACAAATTCTTAGATTTTGAACACATTCCGTATAATAGTGCGTACACGGAACGTGTTTTTATTGTTGGTATCGGAAATCAAATTTTGTTTTACACAAACGAAAACATTCCGCAGAAACGAAAAGAAAATTAAATTAAATTAAATTAAAATATAAAATTCAAAAAAATAAAATCTTATTTTATTGCTAAAAAAATATAAAACATGCAAAATTGCAAGTTTTTTATTAACAACATTTATGTAAGTAACATTAAATTAAAAAACTATAAGAACTATAAATTTTGGCGCCCCCTGCCCCGGGCGCCCTTGTGCGGTGAACAATTTTGCCACCCCCACGCGGCGTCCCTGTTCATATTATTAAAATAAACTAGTGTCTTCAGTGTTGAAAAGGTAGTCATGTTGGCTGGAGATAACTGCATTAAATGAGAGAAAATACTTGATGGAATATTTTAAAATGTTCCGTGCTTTATGATTTAAAATATAAGTTCCTAATGTAATCTAATAGAAATCGAACGCAGCCGGCAGGATTCGAACCTGCGCGGGGAGACCCCAATGAATTTCAAGTCCATCGCCTTAACCACTCGGCCACGACTGCTTGTAGATTTTTACTAATGCACTAAAAAATAGCGTTCTTTATATTCACCAAGTCATTATTTTCAATGCATTATAAGAAGGTATAAAAATAAAATAGAACTGTGCCCTCGCATTTTTAGAAATATTCTCGTTTTGATAAGAAGTCTCCATTAAGTAAGATAAAATAATAAATGGAATATTTTGATATGTATCGTACAATACATTAAGAAGAGTGTCCTTCCTATAAAAAAGGTAAAAAAACGCTGCCGACAGGATTCGAACCTGCGCGGGGAGACCCCAATGGATTTCGAATCCATCGCCTTAACCACTCGGCCACGACTGCTTGTATTCTCCTTCTAATAGACTAATAAATCGCGGTGATATTTATATTCAAAAGGTGACGATTTTAATTGCATCATGACTTTCATATTAGTAAAATAAACTAGTGTCTTCAGTGTTAAAAAGGTAGTCGTGTTGGCTGGAGATAACTGCATTAAATGAGAGAAAATACTTGATGGAATATTTTGAAATGCTCCGTGTTTATGATTTAAAATATAAGTTCTTAATCTAATCGAAGACGAATGCAGCCGGCAGGATTCGAACCAGCGCGGGGAGACCCCAATGGATTTCAATTACATCGCCTTAACCACTCGGCCACGACTGCTAGTAGATTTTTACTAATGCACTAAAAATAGCGTTCTTTATATTCACCAAGTCCTTATTTTCAATGCATTATAAGAAGGTATAAAAACAAAATAGAACTGTGCCCTAGCATTTTTATAAATATTCCCGTTTTGATAAGAAGTCTCTATTAATCAAGATAAAATAATAAATGGAATATTTTGAAAAGTATCGTGCAATACATTAAGAAGATCGTCCTTCCTATAAAAGAGGTAATGAATCTCAGCCGGCAGGATTCGAACCTGCGCGGGGAGACCCCAATGGATTTCGAGTCCATCGCCTTAACCACTCGGCCACGACTACTTGTAGATTTTTACTAATGCACTAAAAAATAGCGTTCTTTATATTCACCAAGTCATTATTTTCATTGCATTATAAGGAGGTATAAAAATAAAATAGAACTGTGCCCCTCGTATTTTTAGAAATATTCTCGTTTTGATAAGAAGTCTCCATTAAGTAAGATAAAATAATAAATGGAATATTTTGAAATGTATCGTACAATACATTAAGATTGTCCTTCCTATAAAAAAGGTATTAAAACGCTGCCGAAAAGATTCGTACCTGCGCGGGGAGACCCCAATGGATTTCGAGTCCATCGCCTTAACCACTCGGACACGACTGTTGTATTCTCCTTCTGATACACTAATAAATCGCGGTGATATTTATTTTCAAAATGTAATGATTTTAATTGCATCTCTCATGACTTTCATATTAGTAAAATAAACCAATCTCTTTAGTGTTAATACGGTAGTCGTGTTGGCTGGAGATAACTTCATTAAATGAGATAAAATACTTGATGGAATATTTAGAAATGTTCCATGCATTGCAATTTAAAATTATACTTTCTAATCTAACAGAGGTCGTACGCAGCCGGCAGTATTTGAACCTGCGATTGGAAAACCCCAATGGATTTTAAGTCCGTCGCCTTAACCACTCGGCCACGACTGCTTGCAGACTTTTACTAATACACTTAAAAATAGCGTTTTTTTATATTCAGCAGGTCATGATTTTCAATGCATTATAAGAAGTTATACCAATGAAATAGTACTTTGTCCCTCGCATTTGTAGAACAATTCTCGTTTTCATAAGAAGTCTCCATTAAGTAAGATAAATTATTTTGAAATGTAGATCAAACCACAGTCTCTCGAGTCTAGATTCCAGAAACAATTTACTACAGAAAAATGTCAACAATGACGCATTAAAATTCACCTGTACATTTCGGAACTTGTGGATCTCAGGTTTCATCCTCACCATTTCGCGTCAGCTAAAATTTTTATGAGGTCTATATTCACACACAACAACAATCCTCTAGAACCAACTTCCTCCTTTTTCTTTATTAATTTAAAGTCCAATATTTTTATTTTATAGTAGTATAGCTCGTATGTCTGTTTTTCATAACAGGAGGGCGGTATATAATATCTATTTTTCTTTTTATTAGTTACTCTTAAAAATAAATTTAGCAATAGTGAGAAGTATCATAAAACATTCTGTTTTTCGTTTTATATAGGGAAATCAAAATGTAATTCTAATTTTGTTGAAATTTTCAGTCTGAAAAAAAAAACCATTTTGAGTGTGCGTTAAATTTTTAACAATAGGAAAAGTCAGCTTTAAAGAGAAATAATGCGAAAAAACTGTATTGATGATTACTCATGAAAAAAATTCATCGTTAGAACTAGAGTTTAATTAGAAACTCCGCATATTTTTACCATTGTATTTTGTAAATATTTTTATATCTCTGTAGAGAAACTCTTTTCATAATGTAAGAGTTTCCAAAAACGGAAATCTATGCTTTTCAATTATTATAACAGAAGCATTATTATAGACAAATATTAGTTTAGTTTTAATTTTATGCACTGATACGATGAATTTTTTTACATATAATCTTTGTGTATGATTCTAGTATATAGTTTTGCTGCATAAGCCATTATGTGCTCCAAAATTTATATAGTATCAAAAATTGGAAAAAAAAATAATAGTAGAATTTTATATTTTTCTAATAAAAAATAAACTTTTCAACATAAACTACTGAAATAAAAATATTCATAAGCTCGTTTGTCCCCGTAAATTTTGTAAGTTTTTAGAGCTTTAGCTATCAAATGATTATCTAACAGATGTAGAAAATCAATTTTCTACCTTTACGCTGCGCATTATTTCTTAAGTAACCCACAATATATTTCTCAAATCAATTAATCTACTATACAAGGTGCGGAAAAAAACTCGGACAAATTTCTTGCCTCCTAGAATAATTAACAAATTTCCTTTTAATTGGTATTTTCATGTTTCTTTATCCACCACTTTAATAATAAAATATTTTTTAATACATTTCTTAATTTGTACTTTAATTTATGTGTTTTTGATAATGTCGAGCAAAAGGTCTGCTATTTTAGAGTTGTTTCAGCAAAGGAAACGAAAGTGTGAAGTCGTTCATTTGCTTAATGTACCTCGGAAAACAGTGTTTGATGCAATTTGCCGTTTCAAAGAACTTGGCAATAATTGTCGATGTCCAGGAAGTGGGTGAAAACGCACTATAAACACTTCAATGAATCGTAAGGCCATCGAAAAGCGAGTCCAGAGGAATCCGATGGTTTCCATGAGAAAATCTCTCGTGACATGAGAATATGTGTCAGATCGGTGAGACGAATTGCAAAAGCGGAGCTTGGACTGAAGCCTTACAAGTTGCTAAGACTTCAGCTCCTCATTGAAAGAAACAAACTCGTACGGCTCCAAAGATGCCGAAAACTTTTGAGACGGCAAGTCAGCGATGGGAGAGATTCCTTTTCACTGATAAAGAAGCTCTTTGTGGTTCAACAAGTTCATAACTTCCAAAACGATTGAATCTGGTCTGTGGACGCTCCAAGAATTCGGCAATTGTTGAATATCGCCAATATCCAAAGTCGGTCATAGTCTGGGGCTGAATTTGCGCAAGTGGTAAAACTCCTTTGATTTTTGTGGAAGAGGGCGTTAAAATTAATCAAAAAGTGTACCAGAGGGACATTCTTGAAGCTGTTGTACTTACGTGGGTCCAAAAGCATTTCGGAAATGCAAAGTGAACGTTTCAACAAGACTCTGCACCAGCTCACAAGGCCAAAAAGACACAAGAGTGGTGCAAGGCAAATTTTCCAGATATGATATCATGTGAAGAATAGCTACCCTACTCGCCGGATCTCAATCTCATGGATTACAGTGTATGGTCCATTTTTGAGTCCAAAGACTGCACTAAACCCTACAAAACTTTAGACTCTCTAAAGCATTTTTTTCTGTGGGAATGGGATAGATTAAAGGTAAAAGACTTGAGGCTCATTGTTGAAAATTTCTGCAAGCGTTTGCGCCTCTGCATTGCTGCAAACGGCAGTCACTTTGAAACCAATTAAATTTATTTATTAGTACGAGTGTACTCTTATTATTATTTGTTGTATTCTGTTAATTTCTTAATTTTTTATAAAGTTGTTTAAAAAATTGTTTGTCCGGGTTTTTTCGCCGCACCCTGTTATGTGATATTTAATCTGTTTTTCAAAATATTGTACTGTTTTGAATCTTTTGTAGGACCATATCCGGGTGGCAAAAGGAAATTTTTGTTTATAACTTTCGAATATAAAGTCGTAAACATTTCTTTGAATATCAAGAAAAATAAGCTACAAACATAAAAAAATGGATATAAAAGTTAAATAGAAATTAGCTTAACGCGGGAGAAGTCGTGCACTCGATACTAACGTTAGTGGTCGCATGGGGGGACGCAGTCACTCCAATCCTTCTTTTTTTAATTATTTTAATTGTACACGATAAAAATCGTATATACAGTGAATAATTGAGTTGAGTGTAAGTATAAACTACTTTTAAGATCTTTTTGATTTCTCTGATAATTTGAGAAAAAATCCAATCAAACAGAACTAAAATGTTTCAAATGTGCGTGACTTTGATTAGGAATACCAATCAGACACTTTTCACTAACATTACAGTAATGATATTTGCAGGCAAAACTGTCATATTTTTCTCAACTTATTGTGGTTTAATTAACCTTAGATGATCGAAAAATAGCATATTGAACTTTTTCTTGTTTGTGTCCTTTTGACCAGGCGCTGTTTGACTTGTGGCACACTTGTGGCTTCATATTTTTTTTTTGACGGATTGCAAAATTTTCCTTTTGATACAAACATTTCATTTTAAAAAATTTTCTCATATTTACTTTCATTATCATGATTACTTTCCGTCATTTCATCAGGTTCTTCCCTTGTTTGATCAATTTTTTCCCCGAAGTTTCAACTTCATCCGATAGAGATCGTAGATGCTCCATTTCTTTTTTACATTCTGTTAATTTACATTTATAAACCATAATGGGTCGTACAACATAATAGTCAAAACCACTAAATCCTTCATAGAGGGAAAATGTAGTTTGTTCCTAGAAAATGCTCGGAGAACTCAGTCAGCCCAAGTACCTTAAGATTGTAAGAAATGATTGCTACTCTTAAAAAAGAGGGAGATATGTCACAAAGACATTTTAGTTCTCATTTCTACATTCATCGACAAATGTCCTACCGTGACCCAAACACCCTTGGGAAACTCTGGCCACTGTGGGTCCAATCCCGAGGAACCTGGAAAGAGCCGAGGCTGTTGCCCGCTTTCGCCTAACCACTGGACATGACTTTCTGGGAGCACACCTCCACTGGCTTGGCCTGGCTGCTGACGAGGCCTGCCCACTCTGAGGCCATGCCATAATGGATGGAGACCACCTACTCCAATGCACTGGACTCGATGAATACCCGACTGACGACATCGTCAGTCGGTACTGGGAGGCTTGGCGTCAAATTCTATGGTCAAGAAGCCCAGCACTGGGGTTGGATAAATAAATAATAAGTTCTCATGAAGACTGTCATATAAGAGGATACTGACAAGGTCATTGGTAACAAACTAACAGTTTTTTTCCAGAATTAAAGATTTCGCGAGCCTGGTGTGATTCAGCGCCCCGCGCAACCGCTCCCGGGTTAAGAGTTCTTAAAGAACTTCGAATATAAATCCTTCTAAAAATTTCTTAAGTATTATGAAATTGATTTTTCAATAGATTTTCTCTTGAACTGACATCAAGAATATATATTTTAACTTTTACAGGATCATTGGTTTCTAAGAGCACATATTAGTATGTAGCTGCTTAATTTTTGACCTTAAGTAATTAAAAATCGAAAGAAAAATATATAATATTGTATAGTTTTATTGTAATTTTATGAAAATAGAATAGAATTATCCCCACAACATTTTTTTACTATCAGGCATTTTATGAGGGGTGCGATCTACTCTCAGCCCCGGCTAGAGGTGTGAGAGGGAGTGAAGGATGACTCGCCATAATACTTTTCAACTATTTATTAAATACACCAATCATAAACAGACACAAATCTAATATTCGAACTAGAAGAGATATTCTTAATAAGAGCAATAGGGGAATAAACCACGAGAGACGCGAATTATGAGAAGACTTCTGTTATATTGATCCTACCTTTTGGGGATCAATCCACTACTCTAAGAATTTGAGTTATAGTTTAGCTATATGGTGACCAATCGTCACTTTAATATCTTCAACTATCTAATCTTTAAAACACGCTATCAAATATACTAATACCTGATTGGTAGTAATCTCTCGTCGTCGTTAGATTCTCTATTTCTCAATCTCCATATAATTCCGTCTATCCATTTAACTAGCTAGAAACCTATACTATATATAACCGGCCTAATTTGCATATCATGTTTTCTTCTTCAAAAGGATTGGTTGTGATTGATTTCAATTGATAGCCCAAAGATTTCCCAAGTGGATTGGATGAAGGATGCGTATAGATCCGTCACAATTTGTTTTTATTTGTTCCAAAATATTTTATCATTGCACAGAATTATAATTACCAAACAACATAAAACATATGAGAAAACATACTAATATATTATTACATTACACACACACATTAGAT